ATTTCTTAGTAATTTAAAGGCACTCTGCTCCTGCTTTGAGCAACAGGCCCACAATTTACACAGCTGCCCCAACATGCAGGCTGGGGGCCAGGGGGATGCAAGTGGCTTCTTTCAAGGCAGTGGACAGATGGTGCTGAAGCTCCTCAGTCCTGAAGTGAACTAGGGACTCCAGGCATGTGAGTCTCCACTGTGGGCATCAGGAGGGGCAGCAGGACCCACCCATGACTCCCCAGAGCATGCCCTGCAGTCTTCTTTCAACAGCACTGTGCTTGGCACACTCAAGTTTGTAAAACTACACTCTGTGCCTCAGGGTATGCAGCAAAAAAATGGAGACAGGATGCTGGCCCAGGTGACCTAGAAATTTAGCACAACTCCAGAGCCACCTCCGAATTCACCCTTTCTGCCTAGGACAGTCCTGAGCCTGACCCTCCCCACTGTGGGACATGCTCCCTGCCCTCCAGGAGCTCCTGATGCCAGGCCAAGATCCTCCTGTGACAAGGATCAGCAGGTAGGCAAAGAACAAGTGTCCTGGCTCACTCCAAAACCAGCTAACACTTTCCTTCCACCTGCATCACCAAAGCCAAAGACCCTGGAGCCTTCCTACTGAGAAAATGAAGAGAGGGACAGACAGATGACAAGGCCCTCTGAGGGCATCCAAGCTCCTCCCAGCTTTTCATTGTATTATGGCTCTTCCTTTTAAGCAACAGGATAAACAGTATTTCAATCCCTAGGAAAATTAACCATCATTGGCTCTTCCCAGGTTATGTCACCACACCCAGGTCACAAGCTTCGGTTCGACGCAAAGCTGTGCATCTGAAGAACAGCAGTCCTCCTGGATACAAAACCTCCGAACAGGGGTGGGGGTGGGGGGCACGGACAGACGGACAATGGATGGCAGGCAGGCAGGCAAAACAGGCAGAGTCTCCTAGCCAGACCAAACAAGCAACTCAAGCTCTCCCTCTAGTGTTCATGTACGAAATCTTTAACTTCCTCAAATAAAATGTGATGCTTAGAGATTAAATACACAACATATATACTGATAACCATTTAGGTAAATGTGGGGGAGTATGAGTGGGGACTTTAAAGTCAGAATTTGCCAAGTCATGAAACTTTTAGGCTCAGTATTCCTAACACAAAAGTAAACATGCTGAGTCGTTTCGGAAGCTGGAGACTTCTGCAAATTGCCTCAACTATGCAGCTGTCCTGTGTGCCCACATGGCGCTTCAGGCACAGGACCCAGCGCTGGACTTGGGAGTCTTGGTTCAAATCCCAATGCCTGGCCATGGAACCTTGTGCAGGAACTTAAATATCCAAGACTCCAAGGATGCTGCAGCCTGAGGCGGGCCTGGCCCACGCTCAGCCAAACTGTACCTGAAACCCAATTCAGGCATCTTCCAAATCTGAACAAATCTATACCTATCAAAGTTGTGTGGAAAAAGCCCCCAAGACCGTAAAGCCAGAATCAGAATACAAGTTATACAAATGTCTTTAAAATTACCCAGGTGGTAAATGAACATCAATAAGACACATCAACTTGTATTCATTCCTAGGGCTTAACATCTGAAATAAGCATCAAAATATGAGTTTATCTGCAAAGAACCAAACATTTTATTTACAAAGAAAATGTTTTAATTTCTATAACAAATTCCAAATGTCAAATTTTAGAAAACTAACTTCAATTTTAAAATTAACTCAGAAATCATGTACCACACTGCAATCTCAGGCTTTTTTTTTTTTTTTT